TGAAAACGCTTTCGATAGAAAAATATTTCTTACTGAAATAAGCAAAGAAACTTGAAAAAACTCAAATTGATGTATCATTTTCAACTTAAATTGTATTAGCAATCACCGTAAAACGTTTTCTTCTTATTTAGAGTCTAATTAGTTTATAGGCAATTCATGTGGATAATCAAAACCTCAAACTAAATTTAAAAAAATTGAAAACAACCGATGAAATTTAGAATTTCGAAAAAACAAGGATAATGTTTTCAACTAAAAATACATTCTTGTTAAAAAATAAGACAAAACTTACTTAAATGTTGATGAAAGTAGTAGTTAACTAAATTTTTCTGTAATTTCTCAAACAAATACTGGAAATTCCTTGATAATTGGCTAGTGTTTTATGTCAGTTTCGATTAAATTGTATGTTTTGTTTGACTTTTCCTCAGATATCCTAGCTCTAAATGTACACTTAAGCGATGAAAATTGTTTTGAACCAATAATATTTCAATTACACAAAATACGAAACATCACAAAGCATTACTGAGGCTTACAATTATCAACAAACATAAAGTCTCCCAAATTTTGACAAGGCAACTTTCTCCATTGCTTCATTCGCTTTCGCAGTGATTAGTCAAATCTGAATGTAGGGTGGCTTGTTCACGCTGTATTTCTTGATTGTGACACACACCCTCCTCATGTTTTATGTTTCTAATTCATATATTCTATTACAGATGTCGAGCTCTTGATCCATAATTGATTCTTTGCCAGATTTGACTTCATTTATAGATACGAGTCCAAGGTTTCAGCATCGTGAATAACGGTTTTCCGGATTGCCGATACTGCTTCTCCTTCTTCTTCACTGAGAGAGACTTGTTGGGACTTTTCTAATTGTCCAAAATTTTAAATTTTTAAAAGTTGAAAGCACAGTTCAAAATAAATATTATTTTTGTAGGATTTTTGGAAACAAACAAATCTTCCAATCCCTGTTTTTTTTTGAAAATTCAATATAATTGAGACTGATGTCTTTTCTTGTGCACATTGTTGAAGAGTAAACTGATCAAATGAGAAGAAATGAGAGAAATGAAAATGCAAGTAAACAATATGAGTAATCGCGATTTCCATATGAGTTTTCTTTTTAAGGAGAGTGTTTAGGCGTTAGTTCTCTTATATAAATCCACAATTTTTGGCAAAAAACTTTCTTCCCAATGGCAGCCGCTATGTGTCAAGCTCTTCCCAGCTTTTATTCAGTTTTCTTTAAAAATCGCTAGTCATATCTGTTTCCAATGAGTTTTACGAAAATACATAGTCAACCAAAATTAATGTGTGTCTCTCTACAATTCTTTATGTTCTATGGAGAACTATAAGTTCCATTTGGTTTTAATAGGAATTTCTTTTTAACCAATTTTGCAGATATTGGATAAATATATTTACATATATTAGGAAATTGACTGTTTTTACTTTTTGTTTAAATACAGATTCCATTCACTTATTGTTACATCAAGTGGAGAAGTATTCAGTGAGCTTAATCGAGCAGTTCTACATAACTTACGATGGAAAAGAACAAAAAGATGCCTAGTATTGCAAAGAAAGAACTAATTCGGAAAAAATACAAGAGACATTAACTAAGTTCTAATCAAAAACTTGCTTCCACGCAAAGTCATGCTTCAGCGTTTCTGGACAGAATTCGAAAAATTCAAAATATGAGATTGATTTGTTGAAGATTATTGATTGTTTTATTGATTGTCATGGTTCTGCGAATAGTTATTTTGTAAGCTTTGTGATAAAATTATCAATTGTCTTCCAGTGTTTTCTTAATAGTTTGCACTGATAAGTCTTTCAAAACTAAGCTTAGGTTCAGAAACACTTAATTCAGATGAAAAGAAAAACCAATTGATAAACAAATGGGAAACTTGAGAAGATCATTGAGAAGTTCACTTGAAATGCACTGAGAAGATCAATTTGGGCAAAAATTTGAGCAAAAGAGTAAAAACAAGAATGATTGAGAGCTGTGAGGGGGTAGCTGAGGGAAGATAATTCTTAATTCGTGCCAGAAAAACTCCACAAACTGTTTCTCGCACTTGGATTTGTACTAAATCAGCCGAAAATTCCACCGAGAACATAAGGTTGTTGTTTTGTACTGAGAAGATCATTTTGAGCAATACGTTGAGTAAATGATTAAAAACAAGAATTACAGTTAAGAGGGAGAAAATTGCCGGTAGTTATGTTGAAATTAAGGTAATTAGAGCTGAGAGAGGAGGTAGTTAACGGTAGTTTATTTCAGATTTTCGAGCACTAAATTAGGTTCTTATTGTTTTTTAATGGTTTGTCCTGAACCTCTCATGTATTCTCATAATAAAAATGAAATTGAAGAAACTAATTATTTAGAAAGAACGAAGTTAAAACCATTAACGATAATTTACAAAAATTTTAAATCAAAGAGCTGTAGAGCAGCAGAAGAGTTCTGGAGGTTCTCTATAGAACGCAGAGCTGGACGAAGCTCCATCGCTGATGGTTGTTGTGGAGGGGTGTTTTGAGGCGTCATTGTTTTTAAGAAACCCTCATCTTCATCTATTGTGATGGGGTTTTCGGCTGATCCTGCTTCCTCCCAAGGAAAGGGGAAATCTTGGACTAGTTGAGCCACATATTTAGAGTCAGGAGTGTCGGGGTAGTTGATTCCCATGTGCTCAGCCACTTCCTGCGTCATTTGTATTTCTCCAAGTTGGTTCCCTGTCACGATTATTTGCATCATATGATGTTCCTGGAAGTCCCTTTGCATCACTTCCACCATATACCAGACTTGGATTGGGATGTCCATTCGTGCCAGAAAAACTCCAGAGCCTGTTTCTCGCACTTGAATTTGCACTAGATCAGGCGAAAAATCTACAGAATACATAAGGTTGCTGTTTTGCACTGAGAAGATCATTTTGAGCAATAAGTTGAGCAATAGAGTAAAAACAAGAATGATTTAGAGCTGAGAGAGGAGGTAGTTAACGGGTGTTACTTCAAAATAAAATGAATTTTATTTAGAAGTGAGGTGTTTCTTAAACTCGAGTGTGTGGGTTAAACCAATCAGAATAGAATTTCCTTATTTGGATTGTAGTCGTGTCCAATCAGATTTCAGCTTCCTTTTATGAAGTTTTTATATAAAATTCGCTCCCAATCGGAAACAAAGTTCCAAAAAATAAATGAACAAAAGTTGTTTGCTGTAAAATAAGAAATATTGCCGATATAGGTAACAAAAGAAAAAAAATTAGAACAAGAAGCATTTCCAATTTTTTTTATTACGTTAATTGAATTTTTGTATGTAATCAATAAGAAATTGGTGATTTTTGAGTAGATAGTCAAGTTCTTTGACTTTGATGTAAATTTGGGAGGATAACTCAAAGTTGATGGATTTTTCAAAGCAAATCTCTGGAAATCTGATTCCAAACCGAATCAATCAGGATTTTGAACTTTTAAAATCCTTAAAGAAATGAAGGAATAAAGAACTTTGCTGGGGAGTTTTTACAAATTTATGTCTTGGGTAGGGGGTAAAAAGAGTTTTTGATATATTATTGTACGACTTTCTGATTAATTTCAAATTTTCGAGAATAAACAAATTTTCTTTCCTTGTGAGGTGTAATTCAGCCGTAAGTTTAAAGCTTTGAACAACACCAAAGAGTGTGCTCGATGCGCTCTTTACTGAATTTATCAAGCCTTTTTTCTCCATTTGCAGCTGTACATCTATTAAGTTAGTACCTCGTGTTCTTTTTCAGTTGCGGGACAAATTTTTTTTTTATTTCTCATGAATATTCTTTGCTTCCTTGTATGCGAAAGCTTCTGGTGATACTAGGGTCTAGTTCGTTTTGTTTTCTTTCATGGCTCTCTAAAAACCTGACTTATCGTCGGCAGGTTTTACGCTAAGTCTTCCAGCGTATCTTTTTTCGAAAGTAGCATGTAAATTGTTGTTGCGTTGCCTAATTTTTAATAAACTAGAGCCGTTAGTCTTTTCATGTCACCCGGAAAGGTGTTATTTCCAGATCTTCTCTACCAGAGTGCTCTACTTCAAACTCTCTAGTGTGTTTATTTCCAGATTTCTCTACTTCAATTTAGGCAACACCGGTTTGTTCTGTGCAGGTAGTTACCAGATGCATCTGAACGTTACCATCGTTACCAGCTTTCCTCATAAACGCCTTTTCTCTCGTTTTAATCGCTTTCTTATACATCTCACATTTTTTTCTGTAATTTTGTTTCTACGCAACAGAAGGATAGATTAAAGTGTAGGAGTAAAAGTTTCAACTTGATCCAAGTCCGGACATCTATGTCCAGCCCCATCATTAATTGACAAGTTTGTTTTTCAGTTGAGAGCTTGTTCTCTCTTTGGCCTCCCCGCTCTTTATTTTTTAGATGGCCTTTTCTTTTTAGAAGGAATTGAAAATAAAAATTTTGAACGCTTCGCTTATTTGTGCTTCAGCAGGTTTAAAAGAAATAAAAAAATTTTAAAAAATGATCATCGATGGTAAAATATCCTAAGATATTTGACTAAATAAAACAGTTAAGAAAATCAACCAATCATAGGTTTGCAAAGTTCTTGAGTAGATCACTCAAGTTGCTGCTGTTGTTTCGAATTACAGTACAGTATGTATTTCAAGGTATGTTTCTTGATGTGCTCATTGCACGAAAGGTGCGAAAACGTTTAAATTTAAATTTTTATTAGTTCCTTAGCTTCGTTTAAAAAAATCAATTTCACATCAAAAGTGTACAGGTCACGAAAAACGTGAGTAATTTCTAGTTTCGAAAGTTGATATAAGTTTTCAGATTTCCCATCGGAATAAAATCTCTAGCTATTGACGCAGCTTTCCGAAATTGAGTAAAATTTAATGAAAAAGTGTCAATCCTAAATGTTTTGAAGTTCGAAGAGCTTTAAGGTCATATGAATTTCATTTTGAAATTCGAAAGTTCTTCATTTTGAAATTCTAAAAACAAATCAGTTTTTTACTCGCGTTCATTGACTCTTTTCCAACTGTGTTGGCTGTGTTTCAAGTTGAAGAAAATGTAAGTTGCTATTGGTTACCATGAGTAACTCGACGTGCCTGCAATTTTCCTGATGGCTGTTATCGATATAGACAACTGGGCAGACGACGAATTGTTAACGGAAAGTGAACGACTGGAATTGAGAGCATTGGACAGGTGATTTGATATATAAGTTTTGATATCTATTAGTTATAGCCTCATCTTCGGAACAAAACTTAAGGACACTAATTGCAAATTCTTGCTTTGTAATTGATTATCCTTGCAATAAGCAAGGGTATTACAATCGGGTACCAGATTTTTTCCCGTAAACAACTTTGTCCACAGGACTCATCTCTAGTGTACTTCTGGACCCATCTCTAGTGGTATCTTCTGAGCGTTCTCGGCTCACTTGAAATTCATAGCGTTCCCGGCCCACTTAGCGCGGAGGTAACAATTTTACCTGGTACGCGACAAAATTCCTGGGTTCGAATCTGACCGGGACCTTTTTTTTTCAAACGAAATATTCCATTTGACAATTTTTTTGACTTATTATTTGTCTGCTTATGTTTTGTCGGCCTAGTTACCACATCGTTGAATTGTTTTTTCTTGCTGTGCGCAATTTACATGGTATTTGCTCTTACTGCTTTGATTTACTTCTGCTGTTTGTAATTTCTTGACTTTCATATTTTTTTTTTGCTTTTTTTTTCTTTCCAAATGATTTGGGCTTGTATTTTATGGGCTTACTGGCCTAATTTTGAGTCGCTTCAAGTGAAACGTAGTTTTTAGGCTCACTTCTGAATAGCGCATTTTGCTAAAATTTTAATAGAATTTATAGTTCAAGTTTTTTCAAGTATTTTTTTTCGGCGTTTTGTTTTTTCTGTTCCTTTTTCGACTTAATTGGTTTCGGCCTATATTATATCGGCTTAATGGTCTCATTTTGCGTCTGTCGACCATCAAAAAAAATTTATGCGTGTCTATGTTTTGAGGTTGAGGGGACTTAATAATTTGTCTTAAAATTTTTTGAATTCATTTTCGGCTTTCCCCCTTTTCTTCGCCTTAATTGGTATCAGCCTTTGTTATATTGGCTTAGCGGCCTCATATTGTTTCCTTTGACGAGCAATTAAAGTTTTTGTTTTAGTGTGCTGAGGGCGAGGTTTACTTTTAACTTTTTATAAGACTTCAGTCTCGTTGATTTTTTTTCGGGTTTAAAGGGTCTCTTAAAGGTATTAAAGGGGTCTCTATAGCCTTGTACTGTTATTGACGACATGAAAACGCAACATTAAATTGTTTCTAAATTGCTTTCAACAGAAATGTTCGTTTTCGCTATTGCATATACTAAATTAAAGTCTCTCTCTCTCTCTCTCTCTCTCTCTCTCTCTCTTACTGGTTTATCTGATCGAGAACATTAAGACTCGCCATTAAATGAAGTGATAAAGGTACTTTTCATGTAACGATTTTGTGAAAACTGGTCCGAAGTATTTCATAGCGTCATTTTTCTTCGTTGTTTTCCTATTTTCCCGGGAAGGATTCCCTTTTCAAGCTTGAAAATATGTTCAAAATGAACGATAAGCCATGAGCACCTTTTATGGATGAAATTTTAGATTTTGATCAATCTCAGACAAAATTTGCACTCAAATCACGAGCAAACTCAAAAATAATAGAATTAAATGGGTATTATGTGCTGGAATATGATCTAATTTTCATTAAAACATTAATATATAAAAATAGTTTAACTGAAAATGTCGCCCAACAGTTTTGCATAATGAATGACAGATACAACATCGATTGGGAATCCTTCGTTGAAACCCATTGCAAGTCGGATCAAAACACGAGAGCGCAAGAATTGAAATTTTTTAAACCGCGAAATTTTTTAAACCGCAAAGGAAAAACATGAAAGCGACTTCTGAACAAGATTGTTACCAAATATAGTACGAAAAAAGATTGGGTTCAATCTTGGCGAAATAGAACATCCGAAGAATATAATCGCTGAAGTGTACAAAAAGTATTTTGTGAATAAGTATAACCTCGAAGACATTTGCTCATGGAGACTGATATGTACATGTCAAAACAGCAGAAACCAACAGAAACGACATTAACACGAACGATATTCAAGATTTTGAAAAAATTCTCAATGTCGAGAAAAATCGGTTTGAAATTTTTGGTTTTGCGTCTGAATTTGAGCAAATAAAGCAAACGAAGGCTTACAACAGCTTAGTTTAATGACTTTAAAGCTTATAACAGCTTATTTTGTAACATAGAAACTTAATTTTACTCGACTGATGTTAGTTTTTTGAGTATGTTAGCGCCTTTTTGGATTTTTCTTCGTTTTTTCTAAACGTTTTTATAATAAAACTCATTTTTAATTTGATTGTTTTACTATAACTGTGCCTTGTCGGTAGTTTTTCGTTCAGATCCGTTTATCACACTGCGCCTAACAACGATGCTATTCTGAAAAATTTTCGTTGTATTTTCTAAGACTATGGTCGGAACGTTCTTTGCTACTTGCGCAGTAATCGTGTATGCTTTTTATTTTTTTCCCGACTATTTAAAAATTGGGAAGGAATTTGGTATTTGGGTATGTTATTTTTTTTTGGTTTTTGACGCAAAATCAGCTACCACAAATAATCATCGAAGAGATTTTAAAGATATGTCCTATTGAAGCCCTTTTAGTTGCGATTCGAACGACATTAAAAACTTTTGAAGAACTTTTTTTGGTATTTTTGCGCATTTTTGGAATCAGAAACATCAAAAGTTCAAAAAACTGTTAAAAAATCGAAAATATTTTGAAACTTTTTTGGCTTTTTGTTTTTCTAGTAGTTTGTTTCTACAAAAATTGTTTTTTTTTCGCCAGTTTTTTTTTTTGCCTGTTTTTTTCCTAAGGTCGAATATGCCTAAGTACTCGTTTTTTGTTTAAATCCTTTTATATATCAAATCACGCCGAGAAAACGACACATTAACCACATTAACCAGCTATCCTTTTTGTTCCGACCATTGAAAATGGGGAGGAGTTTTGTATTCGGGTGTGTTTTAGTTTCTTCTTGTTTTCCACGCAAAATCAGGTACCACAAATATGATCGGACTGGGTTGAATGATATATCATATTAAAGCGCTTCCAAAGCTGATTCGAACAGGCTTGCAAAAGCTTATTTTATTGGCTTTAAAGATTAGAATAGTTTAATTTAAACAGTAAAAACTTAGTTTTACTCGAATAAAGTTAGCTTTTTTGGTAATTTCGCGCATTTTTGGAACCAAAAATTTCAAAGTTTAAAAAGCTGCCAAAAATTGAAGTTATCTCGGAAACTTTTTTTATGACTCATTGTTTTTGTATTGATTTGTATTGAATTTTTTTTTGCAATTTGCCTATTTTACTTATTATGACTGTCGAATATGCCTAAGCTCTAGTTTTTTGTTCAGTTCCTTTTATTTATCAAATCACGCCAAAAAACGACTTAAATTTGAAAAAAAAATGTTTCGTTTTTTAAAGATTATGGTCGGAACATTTTGTGCTACTTGCACATTGACTGGCTATGCTTGTTGTTCCAACCATTGAAAATGGGGAGGAACTTTGTATTCGGGTGTGTTATAGTTTTTTTGTTCACGCAAAATCAGGTACCACAAATAATGATCGGAGGACTGGGTTGAACGATATATCATATTATAGAGCTTGCAGTCGTGATTCGAACCACATTAATTCAGGATTGAAATTTATGATTTTTTGTCAAAAAAAGCGAGCGATCAGGTTTACAAACGCTTCGTTAGGTCTAATTTAAGCCCTAAAAACTTAACTTTAAGCAAGTAAAATTAGTTTATAGAGTTCATTTTAGAAATAGTTTTTTGTTTTTCTAGTCAATTTTCTAAAAAAAGTTTTTGTATAATTTACCTAGATTGCTATGAACGTCAAATATGTGTTAAATGTAGTCTTACATCAGACTTTTTTTATCACCCCACGCAAAAAAAAATTCACTAATTCAAAAGAAAACTTTTTGTCGTTTTGTTAAAGACTATGATCCGAACATTCGGTGCTACTTGCATAGAACCGGCTATCCTTCTTTTTATTATATAATTTTTTGAACATGAGGCTATAATGGCGCATCTCAAAGCAATAAGAAATAATTCAGACAAGTTGATTTTTCAGCCGAGCCTTTGGAAAAGCAGCTTTTTCTCGCCAACCAGAAGGTGTTCACTTGAAGCTTCTTTTAGAAAAGGTTTGTTCGCTTGAAGTTTCATGAAAATTTCATAAATATATTCACTCAGTGCGTTGTCTAAGTTTCGGAATCAGCAAGTAGGGTTTTGAGAGTATTTTTTGCTTCTTTTTCAGGCAATCAGTGAGTTGGAGGATAGATTAGGCACCTTTTGTGGCTCAGATGTTGATGAAAAGGACATACATTCTGATATATTTCTCAAATTGGGACACTACTCTCTCCTCCTGGAAAGGTTTCCTCAGGCACTTTCTGCTTACCAGAAATATCTATCCTTGAACGAAGACTCCTATTGGAAGAACACGGCTTTCCTGTTTGGTCTAGGAATCGTATACTTTCATTTCAACTCCTTTCATTGGTTAGATTTTTGCCAAAGTCATTTGAAAATGATGTTAAGGGGGTGCAGTTGAATGTGATTTCAATTTTAGGGCTATTCGAGCGTTTCAACACATACTATACTGTGACCAGTCGTTCTCGAGAACCAAGGACGTGCATCTGTTTTTGGCGCTTCTCTTTAAGAATACAAGAGACTTCACATCTTGCAGCAAAGTAAATAAAAACTGTTTTCAAAATGAGCAGAATTTTTAAAAAACATGGAAGCTAAACAGTTGTTAATGAATTATCCCGTGTTAAAAATGTGTTTGTTCCAGCATTTCAATTTTGCACTCTGTGACCCAAGTGAAAGTTTGCTGCTCACATTTCCAGAGAGTAAGCCGCTTTCGTCATTCTAATACATATTTTGCTGTTCCTGAAAAGTTAAAAGAGAATTTTTTTAGTCAAATTTCACGAAGCACACGGCGAGGAGTTACAGGTTTGTCTTTCGTTTTCAGTCGAGCTTGACTTTTTTATTGGCATATTATAGAAATGTGCTGTTTTCCTGATTTTTTGCAGGGAAACAACGCACAAGCGAAGAAGGGGTTTGAGGAGATACTTTTGTATGAAGGTCTAGACGCAAAGACGAAGGCATTGGTTTTGAAACAACTCGGTAAGACCATCGGTACTATTTAAACAAAATTTTAAAGGGCATTACGTTCATTAGTATGTGAAAGTTAAGTCAATTTATCGTCGTTCCATCTCTTGAGAATTATTGAAGTCTCCATTGTCGGGCAATCCCCGGCCTGGGACGAATGATGTTTTTTTTTCATTTATGTTCTAGCGCTGGTCTGGAGAAGGAGTCTTTGAAGAGTGTTTCAGTTTTCTTTTGGTGACGTTCTCGTATGTATGCCTGACTGCACCTCGTGGAAGTTTCATACCTGGCTATGGTAGAAGTGTTTGCTTTGAGTATCTGTTTGTTTCTGTACACAGGACGTGTCCTAGGTATGCCCTCTGTCTTTGCTGACTAAAGCCAATAGATCAGCGTGTGAGGACTTCATTGTTGGCTATTCCATCTGTCCCTTCGATCCTACCTAAAAATTTGAGACATGTAACCGAGAAGCATCTGGCGGTGAGATTTGCACAAGTTCTATGTCTGATATCCGTACGTCACAATGGAAGAAATACAAGTGTTCTCCAAAGAATCCATATTTCTTTGAACCGTACATTACTTTTCCAAAGCTTGTGCCGGTTACTGAAAAAAGTCCTTGCCGTATAAGGAAGAGCCGATCCATCTTCGATAACAACACTTCCCAGAACTTATTACTCTGCTCAATATCTGAATTTCCAATCTTCAAGCGACCCGCGGGGTCTGTCTGGATTAGCTTGGTTTTGCCCCAATTTAAATAGAGCCCCAATTGTCGCATGTGCCGTGATCCATTCAACCCAGGCTGTCCGTTCTTTGATCGACTTTGCTAAAAATAAGTGTAAAAGAACGAAGTGATTGTCACTCAGTAGATCGAGATGAGTTTTTTAATCGTTTGATTTTCGAAAGAAAGAAAGAAAGAATTTATTTCTCATTGTTAATGGTAAATATGCATATAACGAGAATTTAAACATGAAGCACCAGAAACAGTGACGGGACAGTTAACGAACCCAATTGGGTGATAGAGCACTGCCCATTTTATCAACTGAAATACGAAATTTGAGATCTTCAAAGAAAAGGAAAAATATAAATCTGAAAACATCAAATAAAATATTGGAAAAAAGTACTAAAGTTTGAATAAACAAAGCAGCAGATTTATGGCATTGTCTAGACAGGTTAATGACATACGGTCCAAGCTCTGCATCATTATTTAAAATGATTGTGCAATCGGAGTCGGTATAAAACCAACTTAGATAAGAAAATAGTTCAAATTCATCACTCATAATTTCTGAAACTCGCTAGTCGTAGGCACCCCCATTCGGTTTCAAAAACAAAACTTGAACTTGTTCACTTTACAGTTACTGCTTCTACTAACTGTGTCCTATCCCTTGAAGCCACTCTATCAGTAGTAGAATTGATGGGGCTAAACGGTCTGTAGACCCCTAACTGAGCCCATGCGGCAGTAACCAGCGAACAAGACGCATTGAAAACCATATTCAATTATACTTAGAAAAAACTTGCAACATGCAGGCACCCCACATCTGTCATTCTCCGGCATTATCCTTGCATCCAAAAAATGTTAACAAAAACCAAATTTGATAAGCTCTTCATTGCTTAATATAAGCATCGCGAATTTCGTGGGCAATGCGTTGAAGATCTGAATTGGAAACTTGATCAAAGTTTTTTTCGAAATAAGGAATTTTCTTAAGTATATTAAAGAGCTTAGCTCCTCTGTAACTAATTGAAGTTCTTTGAATTTTGTTTAATAAATTAGGAATTTTCGTTAAATTAAAAGTTGACCTTCTGTTCATATACGACGGTTTATCAAATACAAAAGGCTCATTTAAAAAAGTTTTAGAGTGTAGTCTTGCCATTGATCGCAAAACAAACTTGAGAAGTTCATACACATGCAGCTCGTGAACTATTAACAATTTTTCATCCTTAAATCCTTGTCGAATGCTTCGTATTTTCTTTTGAAAAAATCAATCGGGATTTTTTTCCTTTGAATAAGGTAAAAAGAGGTAAAAGGTTTGTATAGGAAGTGCAACCATACACCAATATTCCATATTGTAAAATGGTTTGGATATTAGAGCCATAATAATCAATCATAACAGTTTTGGGAACATAATGACGCATTTTCGAAACAATGCCACATTGTTTTCTCAGCTTAGATCATATGAAATTATTATGAATCAAATGATAATTTAGCATCTACATAAACACCAAGATATTTGCATGACCCTTAAATTTTCAAAGGTATGCTATTAATAAACAATTACTGGTTGGAAGCACTGTTAAGAGATACACTAACTTGTACATTTTTGTCCACATTGAGAGATAATTTTTTTCTCAAAATTAGCCACTCATTTATAGCTTCTAAGTCTTGATTGAAGCTCTTAACCGAGCAGTTTAGTCCAGTGATTTTTGTGTCGTCGGCAAATAGAAAAATTTCGCTAAATTTGCAGATTTTTGGAAGGTCGTTTGTATATATAAGAAACAGCAGAGGCACCAAAATGGATCCCTGTGGAACACCACAATCCATATTTCGCCACGTTGATCGCGTTTCACCAATTTGGACAACTTATTTGCGGTGCTTTAAGTAACTTTTGAACCAAAGTGAACTTTTTGCACTGACGCCATACATTTCTAACATGAAAAAGAATCTCATGATCAAGTGTGTCAAAAGCTTTTTTTAAATGAAGGAAAACTTTTCTCTTGGGTGATTTGGTTTTGTCCATACGACATTTCTCTGTTACTTCGGCAGTAGCATAAATAATTTTGTGTTTTTCAGAAACCAAATTGTTTGATATAAATCAGTGAGTTTCTTTCAAGATAGCTGTACATTCGGTTGTACATTGCTCGTTCAAATACCTTACTCCAGGTTGCAAGAAGTGATATTGGTCGATAGTTACTGACATCCAATTTCGACCCTGCTTTATATAAATGATATACTACCGCTTGAGCTTGAGCGGTAGGAAAACATCCTGATTTAAAGGATAGTTCAATGAGTTTTTTCAAGAAGGGAACAATTGTGAATGAACTAGCTTTAGCTATTAGATAACTAATTCCATCTATTCCAGAAGATAATTTGTTTTGTAGCGCTGAAAGAATTACTACAATTTCATTTTCAGTGATTGTATCTAAACGCATGCCAAAACGAGGAAGCTCAGAATAAAGTTGATCGGATTCTAATTTAGGTATTTAATTAGCTAAATGACTGCCAATAGAAGAAAAAAGTCTTTGATTTCATTTGCGATAGCTAGTATGTCGCTAACAACGTCGCCACTACTTCCATTTGTCGAAACTATTGTTCTACTTGATGTATTTGTTATACCCTTCAAATCATTTAGTAATTTGTATACTTTCTTTGAGTCACCAATACATATTTTGAATTTATTATAGTGAAACTTTTATTTTTATTTCAATTTCAACTTTACTCCTGGCAGATTCCAAAGGAAATCTTGCTCTAACATTATTTTTGTTTTTTGACCAAGCTTTATTAGGTCTGTTACGCTTGGATATGAAGTTTTTGAAATGATTGCACAACCAGGGGCTGTCAATGTTTCGTTTTTTGGTTTTTGATTTTCTAAGCGGCGCATAGCTATTTAATTTTCCGCAGTTCAAAGGAAGGCAAACTCCATTGTACTATGAAAAACATGAATGACTTTTTGTTTTGATAATAAGCTTTAATTTTCAGAATTTTTGGCGGAAGAAAACAATTACCTATTGATTCAGTTTTACTATCACCTAAAAAATTACATATTGATTAAGTTTTCTCTAAGTGAGATAAATTTCAGAAAAAAAGGCCAATCATAAAGGATTAACGAGGTAAAAAGAGCTTGAATGTCGTATGTTTTTTGCTGGGTGTTCTGTTGGCTACATTTGGCTATTTGCTGGTGTTTTTAAGGGTGGCTTCACGAAACTGTCGAAGAGTTTGGAACAGAGGTAAACGCAAGAGTGAGTGCAGCAGTAGATTTCTACCACCAGTCTCAAGACTGTAATCCAGAAGACGGAGAAGTCTACTACTATTTGGGCAGGTTAGCAGATACAGCTCTATCTCAGTTTGCGCTTCACATCCCCTTCAGAAATCCTTTTGAAAATTTGGAGGCTCGGCATACCAAAGCTCGCTTCACCACCATTCCCTTATGTATGTTATTGTTTTTGCAGGTGTCACGCTTTACTAGGAGACGTACAAGCTGCTTTCGGATATTATAGATCTGCAATAGACAAACGGGAATCGTGTCCGGATACCTGGTGTTCCATAGGGTGAGTAAACATTCAATTTTAACAAACAAACTTCGGTATTTTTATTCAACAGCAAAGTATTTGAAACAGTTGAAGTCTTCCTGGATTGTGGTGGGCATTTTGGGATTTGCTTGCCCAAGAAGTGAACTATGTTTTTTGATGTGCCAGAAAAATTGAAGCTACAAAAAATTTGAAATGTGGAAATTAAAGAATCAGGTTTATTGTTTTTTAGTGTGTTGTATCAGCAACAGGGCCAACCGTCGGATGCTCTGCAGGCGTTCATCTGTGCCGTGCAATTAGAAGAAGACCACGTGTCCGCCTGGCTCAACCTCGGCATACTCTACGAGAGCGAAAAGCAGTGCAGAGACGCCTTCATTTGTTACCAAAACGCGTCCAGAAAATCAAGAGGTGAGTTGATTGAAAGATCTCAAAATCATGATATATCATTTCATCAAGGGAGTTCAACGTGAGAAAATGGCGTATCACTTTGTATGGGTTCTAAATAAGAGCTAAAAAAGAGCACTAAACTTTTTATCAACACATTTTTGTCAAATATCACCCACAAGATTACTAGAACAGCTGTCGGATCATTTATTTAACCTCAGACAATAACAAGTTGTAACCCACTTTTTTGTTCTCTAGGGTTACGTAGAAAAGGGTCTGCAAAAGGTAATAAAACACTGGCTTTAGTTTGAATTGTTGGCAATTCTGTTCTCTCAATAATGTTTCTTGTAACAGTAATATTTTTAGTATTGATTAATAACCTACTGAATATGCGTTGTTTGCTTAGACCTTACGGAAGCACTTCGACCACGATTAGAGTCTTTACGAGCCGAAGTCATGGCTTCTCAACAGAAAAACAAGCTCAGCATGAATTCACCGACCTTCAAACAACAAGGTTTGATCCAAGGAGGAACCCAAAACGCGCAATTGGGCTCACATAACAGGAAATTGCACTCAATAGACGAAGCCTGGAACCTCCCGATTCCCGCAGAATTGACCTCGCGAAGACGTGTGAAGAACTCGAAACGCGGCAGTGAACCAACTATAATGGATATAGGGTCCACAGTCCAGCCAGGAGGACCGGGACTAATTGTTTCAGATGGAGATATTGTGGGCGGAAAAAGACAACGTCAGGGAAATGCTCCAATCCATGGCCAAGAAGCAGTGCCTGCGTTCCCGCCCGAAGAGTTCGAACAAATGCGAAGTTTGGAGACACAGTTGAAAACTATGGGACAACTTCAGCCCAGTCTACAGGTATTTACATGGATTTCGAACTTCGCGGCGTCAGTAAGAACTAGGGCATAGAGTGGACTTTTTAATCGATGAGAGCTACCTAAAACAAAGCTAATCAGCCTAGAAACCTCAGGGATCTCTCAATCTTGACGCAGTGCCAATTAATGGAGTCAAGACAGGTATTTAGGTCTCATAAGTTAATCACCCTCAAATTGATCTTTTCGAGGTTTGACTTTGATTTTTTACTTCGGCTTATCCCTCTCACACCTCGCATGATTGTCTTAATTTGGTACAACGGCCGAGTGATTTAACAAGGTTAAGTATACAGACCAAACATGTTTATCGTGGTCTAATCTGCATCAGAGGCCTAATTGGGGGTGGGGGGGGGGTTTACAGATTGCGCTTCCCCTCATACTTCGACTCTCTCACCATCCAAAGGGTCCTCCTTTGGTACGATTTATTTACGATATCGCTTTTTGGTCGATCGAACCTACATTTTGTTTCGGGTAAAAATATATACTAATTTTGAGGGGGAGCGAACGCCAAAAAAACTCAATTTTGCTCATTACTCATTTGCGTTTTTTTCCAAAAATTTGCCTAAGGCGCAAGAAAGTTTTAAATAGAAAGTTAGGGTCTTCCTAGTGTTTTAATGCTGTTTTCGAGTTTCCCACCCCCTCGTAAATTTACAAAATAAAGCTGTTCAAAAATTGTTCACATCGCATTTTACATGTGAACTATGTTGTAAAAATTTGTTCGCCTGTTCACACTTAATGCAGTTTACCACATGAAAACTCATTTTAACTTCTCTTTCATTTATTGATATTCCGAAAAAATCCAAGGGGGGAACTGGAAAAGAGCCTGTTTTAAGAGAGTTCGGAACATCTATTTGGTCGATCTAAAAAATAAGTCGAGGCGATGCGGTAGTGATAGTGCCCAGCAATCATATGATTGCTGGTTCAAATCACAAGTGCGCTGCAATTTGCAGGGTGAGCTCATGCTAGTAAAACATAATGAGCGCTGGTTATAAGCGCTCTTTTTGACGTAAAAATTAACCTACAAGTTAGTCATCCGGGCAGGTTGACTGAATAAAAATTCTTGAAATTCTGCTTCCTCCCTTGAGAAAAATCCTAGATCCACCCGTAGTCCACGTGCCAATTTTTAAGAGTCGATGAACGTAGTTAAGACTCTTATATAGGTCGTGAACTACGGGTGGATCTAGGATTACGATGGACCTAGTAACGAAAGTGGAATTTAATTTTCAGTTTCCCTGCGAAACAAAAAGTTTACTAATTGATTCATTTTTCTTAAATTTGGTTTATTTTTAGCAACCAAGTGTCAATCATAAATGGTTCTAGAATTTCAAACGAGCTTTAAGGCCATCTATTATTTTCTGTGAATTTCGAAAGTTGAAGTTTTTCTCAAAAAACAAGTCACTGTCTTTTTCTGTTTACTTGCGTTCATTGACTCTTTTCCCACTTTCTGTTGGCTATGTTTATAACAATCGGACCATGTGAACTTAAATTTACTAGTAAAATTCGAAGCTTTTTACTTCAAGTTTATTTGCTAAATGGAAGTCGAAACACGCTCTCCGGTTCAAATTGCAAATTGACTCACTTGTAGTTTTTAAAGTAGGATTTAGTTTACAGAGTACTCAATAGAATAACAATTTACCTAATGATGATGTTTAGTCAAATTGGACTAGTTTTTATCACAAAAATTTGCTTGGAAAAAGATCTCAACGAGAAGGGGCGAGTAAACAATATGCATTATAAAGCAGCTTGAATTTTTTCCGCTATATTTTTGGCTTTTATTTTCTTTCGTGATTTTCATTTTAGATGAGATTATCTCAGTTAAAAGTGAAGTTTCAACAATTCCAGACCGGGCAGAGCAAACGACTGGTGTTAGCATCTTCCTCCTCTGTCGCCTCTCCTCCTTCTGCCAGTGCAATTCCAGGATCCATTCCTCAATTGGGGCCATCTGAGTCGACTGCATATCAACATCAGTCAGCTGTCGCTGCCCCTTACCTAACCCAATCCAACGGCAATAACTTTGCTCCAGGTATTTTGAATTGAAGCTGCCATGTTGATTAAGTAAAACCGAATTTTATCCTGGTAGATTTCAACAGAACAAGGAATTGCGTTGTCCTCCGATTTTAAGAAGCTGAGGTGTATAAATGAAAAATCAAACCAACAGCTTAGACTGCTGCAATGTGGAAAACTTCTTTAGCACTGTCTAGTTTCAACGTTTCATGATCTGTTTCAGAACAAGTGCTGGACATCAATATCAAGATGGACACCAACGAAAACAGTGCTCCTTCTAAACCTTCCTTAGACTTAACCGACACGCTTAATGTGCTCCATTCAATGGTAGATCGAGGTGCGCAAGCCACTCTACTGCCAGTTAAAGACGCTGCTAAACTTCTTTCGGAATCTACGCATACCGGTGAGCTCAAGGAAGAGCATGACCTTAGACAGCCGCTTCCTCCAATATTCAATGTGCAAGGTACGACTTGGAAGCCAAAAGAAGTGCCACCGTCAATTCACATTCACTTATCGCCAGAACTGCTTAAAACGGTTAAAGACTACGACAACAATGTAGATGATGTGGATGCTTGGAGAGTGCTGAACCATGAGCTCCCACCACCATTACCACCTGAGGTGCCCAAAAATTCCACTCCCGAGCAAAATGGAGGATCGGAACATTCGAACATTGCGTGGTTACATCCTCCGACGCCCACAGTTACGGTGGAATCTAAGAGAGAGGCATATTCGGAGAAACTGATGGAGTATGTTCTTCTGAAGAACCAGCCAGTGACTGTGATTAAAGGCCTGACAACTGCGCTCAAAATTGGTCAGTGATGAATAATTTCTTTTTCAAGAGAAACCTGAATAGTCTCGATTTTGAACCAGAAAAGAAAGCTGCGTGTAAAAGTTGAAGAACATTTTCAGCCAGTTAGCCAGAGATTGGTTCGGTCGAATACTGAGTGCATGAAAATTGAGTGCATGTTGAGTGTTATTTTAGATCTGAGTTTGTTCACGACCAAATCACTGTGCGAATACAACCCAGAGCACCCAGTTGAGGTCCGCAATCAAGTGAATCAACCTCCGGACGAGAACTGGGGAGGACCGCCTGGCGAATACGTGTTCCAGTGCTGGCCATGTTCATCCAGCAAAGCGACCTCAACCATCACCAAGTATGCACACTATCAAGTGTCAATGTTCCTAGCTCATCAACAGGAAGCACAGTCGGGCACGAATTCATCGCCGAGCACAAAGAACGGCACAACGCCTCAATGCTCTTCGCCCGAACTGTCTTCGGCAGAAGGCAGCCCGAGTAAGTCTAAGAGGGGCAAAAAACAGAAGTTTAAGCCAATCAAGTTTGGAACTAATGTGGACTTGTCTGATGAAAAGAAATGGGGTCCGCAATTGCAGGAGATCAGCAAGCTGCCAATATTCTGCAGGGTAATTGCTTTGAATCATGCTATAATATCATACGGATGATATCTGCCATTTTTTTATTTGAGAAAAAAGATCTACCATCTTTTTGGTTTATTAAGAGTAATGAACGTAGTGAAGACTCTCATATAGGTCTTGCTGATTTTTTTTTCAGGAAAAAGTCTTAAAATATTGATGCACTTTGCTATATATGCCCTTTTTGAGTTCGAGTGAAATTTATCTGCTGAAATTGACGTAAATAGCCCTCTCCAAATACGAACATGCAAATGGCGCAAAAATTTGTGAACTATTTCTAGTTTCGAAAGTGGAAATTAGTTTTTGATTTCCAGTTTTCTCCAGTTGGGTTAATGTTATTTAAAAAGCGCCAATCATAAATCAGTCTAGAAACTCAAAGAGCTTAAAGGGCATCTATTTTTTTCTTTGAAATTCTAAAGTTGCGATTTTTTCAACAAAGTTATAGTTTTTTTAATGTTTACTTGACGTTCATTACTCTTTTCCAATCTTCGATTGGCTATGTTTTGTTAATTGTACGGTATCTAAATTGAAGAGTAGTTCATTCTTTAGCTAATCTCTGCTGCTAACATGCTGAGTCACCTGCCACATACAATCCTCGGCATGAACTCAGTCCAACTGTACATGAAGGTACCAGGGTGCAGGACTCCGGGTCATCAGGAAAACCTTAACTTCTGCTCCGTCAATATCAACATCGGACCAGGAAACTGCGAGTGGTTTGCAGTCGACACCGAATACTGGGGAGTGATTCAGAGGCTATGTGAAAGGAACAACACTAACTTCCTGCATGGTTCTTGGTGGCCACTTCTACAGGATCTGGAAGATATGAAGGTGCCAGTTTACCGCTTCATCCAGAAGCCAGGAGATCTGGTGTTCATCAATGCTGGCGTGGTACACTGGGTGCAATCTACTGGATTCTGTAATAACATAGCCTGGAATGTTGGTCCTCTCAACGGTAAGTGTTGAGTAGCATTATGAACAAAAAACTTTTCTTCCTAATAATGAAAAAATGAGCAGTATTCAGCATTCAGCTTTCGCTACTATTCATTCAAATGCTAGAAAATTATTCAGGATTTCTCCCAATTTGCGAAATCACGAAAATCAGAAGCATTCGTCCTTATAAGGTGTTGAGCTTCCTAAATCATTGAATCTTGTTTGACCATCTTTAAAGAGTTGGTGAAAGATTTTACTGCTCAGATGGTAGTTGTTGCGAGCTTTTAGAAAAATATTCAGAGAATCCAAAGTTTATCAGCCATTTTTTTTCAATTTTGATGTGTTTTTTTTGTCAGGCTACCAGTACAGTCTGGCGGTGGAGAGATACGAGTGGAACAAACTGCAGAACTACCGCAGTCTCGTGCCCATGATCACTCTCACGTGGAATCTAGCCCGCAATGTGCGCGTGACTGACCAAAGCCTATACCTAGGAATGAAGTGAGTGGAAGCTAGCAAGCGTTATCAAATCGGACTTTTTTCAATTCCACCTGTTTTTTTTTCAAAGGAAAAATTTGAAAAAACTGCATATTATTTGTCAGCTTGTTTTTTGCTTAACTTCCACATTTTGGAAATGTTTTTTTTTGCTGTACGCAATTTTCATTATAATAGCTTTAAGTGTGTGATTTACTGCAATTTGTAATTTTACTAGCCTCGACTTCGCATATTCCTTTTTTAAAGAGTAATGAACGTAGTGAATACTCTTATGGTCCTGGTGATTTTTTTTTCTTTCAGAAGAAAGTCTTAAAATGCTCTAAAAACTACAGATATACATCCATACATATTCAGGCATTTATGAATGCCTTGTTAGAGCTCAGTATATAATCATCTGCTGAGAATTGGTAAATTGTCTCTTCAAATACGATATTGTCTCTCCAAATACGAACGTGGAAGTGGCGCAAAAAACGTGAACGACTTCTAGATTCGAAAGTGGAACTTAAGTCTTAGATTTCTTAGCGGAATAGAAATTTTACCTATTAATCCAGTTTCTCAAATTGAGTTAATTTAATAAAAAAAGTGTCAATCATAAATTCATTTGTTTGGAATTTTGTTTGGAGTTATGCTATAAAATTTTTTTTACTTTGAAGTTTGAAATTCAAGTGTTTTTTCTTTCTGTTTACTTGCGTTCATTACTCTTCTCTATCTGTCACTTGGATAAGTTGTTCGCTTGAAAACTTCATTCGGTCCAAAAAATTTCGGCTTAGTAACCTTACTTAAGGTCTTTTCAAGGAAAACATTATTTTATACTCGTATAAAATGCTTAAAAGCTTGGAAGCTCTTCTTCGCCCCTCTGTCTGCAAAATCTCTGCATTATTTATGCAATTTTGCCCAAACTTTGTTGCAGTTTTGATGATTATAATGGATCACATCTCAAGGCTATGATTTTAATGTTTATGAGATCCGTTTCAGAGCCTGCCTGATCAAGTCTCTCAAGTACAATGAGTTATGCCTGGAAGAGATAAGAGAGAAAGTGAAACCGCCTGTTGAGGTCAGATGGCACGGTAGACAACACGGGGAACTGGTGAACTTCTGTGCCACATGCGATCAAGAAGTGTTCAACATCCTCTACACTAAACAGCAGTTGCCCCCCGTCCCCTCATCAGATCTGCTTCTCCCGCCGGGGGAGCAGAACTTGAACTCAGGGATACCCAACTCAGTCTCAGCTGTTACACATCAAGGCAAACCTCAGGTGTATGTCTACTGCAGGAGCTGTGCGTTCCGTTTATCATCCAACTTGCAGCACTTCGTCATTCTTCAGGAATACAAAGTGGAGGATCTCACTCTCATTCTAAATCATTTCAAACTGGTAAGAATCACTCCATTGTAGTCGCTAGAAAAATTTAAAGGAAAAGGAGAGGCTTTGATTTAGAAGCGCAATTAAATATTGAAGTAACACTTAATTTTGCTCATTAATCTTATGATTTTTTGTAAAAGAACAACTGAAACTTGAAAAAAAAAAAAATAGTAGTTAATGTAAGATTTAAAGTGGTAACTCAAAGTGTATATCGGTGTATGTAAAAGAGGTTTTCAAAATGTTCTTTTAGAAGCCCAAGGATGCAGTCCTAGAGAAACCTAACAGCTGATGGGGTTAGAAGATAATTTTTTCGTTCTGAAGACCACAAGTGTTGCTTTGACAGATGCTTCATCGATTTTGCAGTTATCTAAATGAAACTGGAAAAGGCATTTGCTAATGATTCTTCCGTTGTTAACATTTTCTGTATCTTCTAATGATGTTATCAACTAACATGGAATTAAATACTGAAAGTTGATCAATATATTTCTAACTTTGTGCTATTTTGTTCCTCGAAATTTTATAAATTATTCAGCATCTATCATTCGTGCATTTTTCTGCTCGATTTTAATCATCTGATTATTTTTGCGTTTATTTCACACAATTGTTCTTCTTTAGTTGTAAATGATTATATGATTACGCTTGCGATAAGCAAGCGTTATAAAGTAAAGCAAATTATTATTTGATTATCTGTGATTTAAGGTTTTTATTGCTTCGTTTCTTTTATACTGTCAACCTGCGTGTTGTGTGTTTGTTGGTTGATTTCTATTGGAGCCTGGTTCTGACCGCGGTGTGTATGTACATTTGCAAAACTAGCTGTAATTTATTTTATTCTCCCAATGTTTTATAACTTCAGATTAGCTTGTAACAGGTATTTAAGAAAATATTTGTCGAGATAATTCTGCTTACGCTTGCGATTAGCAAGTGTTATCAAATCGGAATATAAAGCTTTATGTGGCCTCAATTACCGCATCGTTTTAAGAAATCGTCTTTTTCTGTTCTCGATTTGATCAGCTTGGTATATGGTGATGATTTTTCACTTTGATTAGAGGTTTTTGCCTTTCTTTGCCGGTAATGGATGAGTCCAGAATAACAGTCCATGAAATATTTTGATCTCACTCTATTTATGTCGTGATGTTTTTCATTTTGATTAGTGGCTGTTGTTTTTTGCTAGGAAAAGATGCACCCTGCTATCAACAAAAGTCCTTGAGTTGTTTTATTATTTTTTCTGTGATGTCGGATTATTTATTCATTTGATTAATGGCTGTTTGCTTCTCTGCCAAGAAAAAAACGCAGAGTTTGACAATCAATCGTTCATAAATTTTTGTTCTGATCACTTTGTTGTCTTGATGTTTCTTCATTAAGATTAGGCTTTTGCCTCTCTGTCAGGAATGGATGATCACCCACCAAGGTTGGCATAAGGGAATGAAATTTTTCACTCTGAATCCTGATTTTATCAAAATTGGAAAGGTTGCTGCCAATAATTAGTCCTTGTTCCCTTTTTTGTGATAAATAATAGCTTTGATTAGAGTTTGTATTTCTGCGCCAACTGTGGATAAACCCAAAAATTAGCAGTGTTACCTGAAGTTTTTTTGTTCTGATTCCTGTTCTTATGTTTTTTAACTAAAGGTAGTGGCTTTGATCAGAGGCTTTTGTTTGTCTGTCAGATTGGATGAACCCAGAGATTGACGATAGTCCATGTAACATTTCGTTCTGATGTCTTGTCTAGTTATATTTATTAGTGCTTCTTGTTTTTTTTTTGCTATTTATAGATGATCTCCGAGAATTAGAACGTTTATCCTGAATAGTTTGTTTTTGATTGCTTTGTAATGTCGTGATGTTTTTTACTTTGATCGGAGACTGTTGCCTGTCTCTGCCAGAAATGGATGAACCCAGAGATTGACGATAGTCCATGAAATATTTCGTTCTGATGTCTTGTCCAGTTATAATTATTAGTGCCTTTTGTTTTTTTCTATTAATAGATTATCTCCGAGAATTAAAACGTTTATCTTGAATAGTTTGTTTTTGATTGCTTTGTAATGTCGTGATGTTTTTTCACTTTGATCGGAGGCTGTTGCCTGTCTCTGCCAGAAATGGATGAACCCAGAGATTGACGATAGTCCATGAAATATTTCGTTCTGATGTCTTGTCTAGCTATACTTATTAGTGCTTCTTGTTTTTTTTTGCTATTTATAGATGATCTCCGAGAATTAAAACGTTTATCTTGAATGGTTTGTTTTTGATTCCTTTGTAATGTCGTGATGTTTTTTCACTTTGATCGGAGACTGTTGTCTGTCTCTACCAGAAATGGATGAACCCAGAGTTTGACGATAGTCCATGTAATATTTCGTTCTGATGTCTTGTTTAATTATGCTTATTAGTGCCTCTTGTTTTTTTGCTATTTATAGATGATCTCCGAGAATTAGAACGTTTTTTTTGAATAGTTTGTTTTTGATTGCTTTGTAATGTCGTGATGTTTTTCATTTTGATTAGTGGCTGTTGTTTTTTGCTAGGAAAAGATGCACCCTGCTATCAACAAAAGTCCTTGAGTTGTTTTATTATTTTTTCTGTGATGTCGGATTATTTATTCATTTGATTAATGGCTGTTTGCTTCTCTGCCAAGAAAAAAACGCAGAGTTTGACAATCAATCGTTCATAAATTTTTGTTCTGATCACTTTGTTGTCTTGATGTTTCTTCATTAAGATTAGGCTTTTGCCTCTCTGTCAGGAATGGATGATCACCCACCAAGGTTGGCATAAGGGAATGAAATTTTTCACTCTGAATCCTGATTTTATCAAAATTGGAAAGGTTGCTGCCAATAATTAGTCCTTGTTCCCTTTTTTGTGATAAATAATAGCTTTGATTAGAGTTTGTATTTCTGCGCCAACTGTGGATAAACCCAAAAATTAGCAGTGTTACCTGAAGTTTTTTAGTTCTGATTCCTGTTCTTATGTTTTTTAACTAAAGGTAGTGGCTTTGATCAGAGGCTTTTGTTTGTCTGTCAGATTGGATGAACCCAGAGATTGACGATAGTCCATGTAACATTTCGTTCTGATGTCTTGTCTAGTTATATTTATTAGTGCTTCTTGTTTTTTTTTGCTATTTATAGATGATCTCCGAGAATTAGAACGTTTATCCTGAATAGTTTGTTTTTGATTGCTTTGTAATGTCGTGATGTTTTTTACTTTGATCGGAGACTGTTGCCTGTCTCTGCCAGAAATGGATGAACCCAGAGATTGACGATAGTCCATGAAATATTTCGTTCTGATGTCTTGTCCAGTTATAATTATTAGTGCCTTTTGTTTTTTTCTATTAATAGATTATCTCCGAGAATTAAAACGTTTATCTTGAATAGTTTGTTTTTGATTGCTTTGTAATGTCGTGATGTTTTTTCACTTTGATCGGAGGCTGTTGCCTGTCTCTACCAGAAATGGATGAACTTAGAGATTGACGATAGTCCATGAAATATTTCGTTCTGATGTCTTGTCTACTAATGCTTTTTCACTTCTATTAGCGCCTCTTGTTTTTTTGCTGATTGTAGATGATCTTCGAGAATTAGAACATTTATCTTGAAAATTTTGTTTTCGATTCTTTGTAATGTCGTGATGTTTTTTCACTTTGATCGGAGACTGTTGTCTGTCTCTACCAGAAATGGATGAACCCTGAGGTTGACGATAGTCCATGTAAAATTTCGTTCTGATGTCTTGTCTAGTTATATTTATTAGTGCTTCTTGTTTTTTTTGCTATTTATAGATGATCTCCGAGAATTAGAACGTTTATCCTGAATAGTTTGTTTTCGATTGCTTTGTATTGTCGTGATGTTTTTTAACTTTGATCGGAGGCTGGTGCCTGTATCTGCCAGAAATGGATGAACCCAGAGATTTACGATAGTCCTTGAAATATTTCGTTCTGATGTCTTGTCTAGTTATACTTATTAGTGCCTCTTGTTTTTTTTCTATTTATAGATTATCTCCGAGAATTAAAACGTTCATCTTGAATAGTTTGTTTTTGATTGCTTTGTAATGTCGTGATGTTTTTTCACTTTGATCGGAGGCTGTTGCCTGTCTCTGCCAGAAATGGATGAAGTTAGAGATTGACGATAGTCCATGAAATATTTCGTTCTGATGTCTTGTCTTGTAATGCTAATTCACTTCTATTAGCGCCTCTTGTTTTTTTTGCTAATTGTAGATGATCTTCGAGAATTAGATTATTTATCTTGGATATTTTGTTTTTCATTCTTTGTAATGTCGTGATGTTTTTTCACTTTGATCGGAGACTGTTGTCTGTCTCTACCAGAAATGGATGAACCCTGAGGTTGACGATAGTCCATATAACATTTCGTTCTGATGTCTTGTCTAGTTATATTTATTAGTGATTGTTGTTTTTTTTTGCTATTTATAGATGATCTCCGAGAATTAGAACGTTTATCCTGAATAGTTTGTTTTTGATTGCTTTGTAATGTCGTGATGTTTTTTCACTTTGATCGGAGGCTGTTGCCTGTATCTGCCAGAAATGGATGAACCCAGAGATTTACGATAGTCCATGAAATATTTCGTTCTGATGTCTTGTCTAGTTATACTTATTAGTGCCTCTTGTTTTTTTTCTATTTATAGATTATCTCCGAGAATTAAAACGTTTATCTTGAATAGTTTGTTTTTGATTGCTTTGTAATGTCGTGATGTTTTTTCACTTTGATCGGAGGCTGTTGCCTGTCTCTGCCAGAAATGGATGAACCCAGAGATTGACGATAGTCCATGAAATATTTCGTTCTGATGTCTTGTCTTGTAATGCTTATTCACTTCTATTAGCGCCTCTTGTTTTTTTGCTATATGTAGATGATCTTCAAGAATTAGAACATTTATCTTGAATATTTTGTTTTTGATTGCTTTGTAATGTCGTGATGTTTTTTGACTTTGATCGGAGGCTGTTGCCTGTCTCTGCCAAAAATGGATGAACCGAGAGATTGACGATAGTCCATGAAATATCTCGTTCTGATGTCTTGTCTAGTAATGCTTATTCACTTCTATAAGTGACTCTTGTTTTTTTTCTGCTATCTGTAGATGATCTCCGAGATTTAAAAAATTCACTTCAATAATTTCTTTTTATTTGCTTTGCTGCGTCGTGATGTTTTTTCTTTTTGATCAGAGGCTTTTGTTTGTCTCTGCCAGGAATGGATGAACCCAGAGATTGACGATAGTCCATGAAACATTTCGTTCTGATGTCTTGTCTAGTTATACTTATTAGTGCCTCTTGTGTTTTTTCTATTTATATATTATCTCCGAGAATTAAAACGTTCATCTTGAATAGTTTGTTTTTGATTGCTTTGTAATGACGTAATGTTTTTTCACTTTGATCGGAGGCTGTTGCCTGTTCTGCCAGAAATGGATGAACTTAGAGATTGACGACAGTCCATGAAATATTTCGTTCTGATGTCTTTTGTAGTAATGCTTATTTACTTCTATTAGCGCCTCTTGTTTTTTTTGCTAATTGTAGATGATCTTCGAGAATTAGATTATTTATCTTGGATATTTTGTTTTTCATTCTTTGTAATGTCGTGATGTTTTTTCACTTTGATCGGAGACTGTTGTCTGTCTCTACCAGAAATGGATGAACCCTGAGGTTGACGATAGTCCATATAACATTTCGTTCTGATGTCTTGTCTAGTTATACTTATTAGTGCCTCTTGTTTTTTTTCGATTTATAGATTATCTCCGAGAATTAAAACGTTTATCTTGAATAGTTTGTTTTTGATTGCTTTGTAATGTCGTGATGTTTTTTCACTTTGATCGGAGGCTGTTGCCTGTCACTGCCAGAAATGGATGAACCCAGAGATTGACGA